ACCCACGATACATATACAGCATACATACATGTCTACGTGCCCGTTTGTGCACCTATATCCAATAATATCCTTACGTACTTATAAAGGAGCACATCTGTCTATGCATGCGTTTAATGTCCTCGAAGGCAGTATGCTGAGAAAACGCTTGGGCAAATTTGATTTTATTGCCCTTCGCCCAAAGGGTTTAAAAACAAGTTTACATGATATTAATCAAAGTCGATATTAATTAGTGGTAATAATTTTGTAGATTTAGAAAAAGCTTTTGACAATGTTAAAGGAGACAAATGTTAAATATACCTAAAAAATGTAGGGATGAGTTAAAGAGATAGAAGAGTGATACTTAGTTTGTATAAAGAGCAACAGGCAGTTATAGAGCTGAAGGAGCAACGTAAGGAAGTAAATGTTAGGAAGGGAGACAAACGGGGATGCACACTGCCACCGCTAATTTATCAATCTTTACATCGAAGACGCGATCAACATCATTAAAGATAGTACAACTGCAGGGATAGATATACAGGGACAAAATATTAGTATGCTTAGATTTGCAGATGACATAGCAGTATTAGGATCTAGCAAGGAGGAGTTAAAGATAACGTTAAATAAAATGGAAGCAGTATTGACAAAACAGTATTGTATGAAAATAAATAAAAGTAAAACAAAAATACTTATATGCAAGGGAAGAAAAAGTAGGGAAAGAGTGAATATATAGATAGTAGACGAAGAATTAGAAGAAGTGGCTGATTTTAGGTGTCTAGGAAGTCAGATATGACGGAAGGATTAGTAGGGATATAATGCAGAGGATAGCGTAGGGTCGAGTCGCCTTCAATAAAAAGAAGTCACTTCTATGCTCGCGAACGGTTAATTAAGATACATTCAAAATGTGATGTTACCGGTGAATGATGAGGATATCGCGGATAGAGAAGGTTAGAAATGAAGAGGTATTAGAAAGAATGGGAGAACAGAGGACTATATGAAAGTTAATAAGAAATAGGCCAGATATGTTGCTAGGACACCTTTTTAGGCATGAAGGTCTAGTTAGAGACATATTAGAGGCAGAAACAAGAGTTAAGTTAATGCGAAGATTAACTCAGAAAAGGAACGAGTGGGGGTGCGTGTCTTTGGAATGAACACCTTATTATGATTATGTAGATGAATAATTTTTAGAGATTGGTAGGGTACCCGGTTGGAATCTGGTACGCGGCGGATCCGGTCGGGTACAGGATAATACGCCGGGTAATCAGCACCGCCGGGTAGTTTTACTAGATAAAAAACTCGGTTATCTAGTACACGGCATAGTCACTATCCGGTGTTTCTCTAATAATTTTAACAAGTTAAACTTAAAACTAATGATTTTAAGTCCGGCGATTGAACCCTGCTGTCGTAACAAGAAGGACGATGACAATTTCTTATTTTGAACAATCTATAACAACGTTGAAGGGAGAGGTGCATGAAGGAAGAAAAGTTTCTCTAATCTTTGTCCTTTGAAATGAATTTACATTTGCTGTTTTGATATCCGTATCAGGTTCATTTCACCTATAAAAAGCGGTTCCGTTGGAACTTTTACGCAAATTTTGCGCTGCTGGGTGGGTTTACTTACACGTTCGCGTACGAGTGCATGTGTGTACGTAGAGAGAGTGTTATCTATGCGAGATGAGATGTATTATTTACCGTGTAAATCGCGGTTGTAACTCGTCGGGCTGATATTCGTTTGCGCCAGGTCTTGTGAAGAGCACCGATGTCGGTAAATCATACCGAATAATGAACAACATATAAACGGTAAAATTTATAGGCAGTTAATGTTGCGCAATAAAATATTCCCGTGTTTACAAAGAACGCGGCACGATCTACCTTCGCTACGCCGCGTTATTTTCAGCTTCTTCCTTTTCTTCATTTATTAGGTAACTACTATACATACTGTTCTTCTTCGGAATTTTATTATCTTACGGCTTGTAATAATATCGCCCAAAACTGGGTTACCGAGCTTATAAACCATCGATTTTTACATTCTTACATTCTGCTGGATGAAGTCAATTATTTTCGAAAAATCACTCATCAATTTTTTCTCCTATGTAAATAAATTAAAACACTTTGAAACTTTAAAAGTGTATTATACAAGAAAGACCCATGAATATTTACAATTATAACTAGTTGCTTTCAGGGAGATTGTTGCACTGAATTCTTAATATTAAAAGGATAATAATTACACCTCTGATTTCCCTACCAACTACAATTTTAACAATAGAAATATAACCGGTAACAAATACCTATGTTGTTGATATAAAGAACTATATACATATATAAATCTAACTACCGATGGTACATTTACTTGTCTGTACTTCCAAATATACTTTTAATGGGGTGGGTTTAATTGTCTTTTTGTATACGAACATTCCACAACCAGGTAAATATACAAGTCACTGACACCATGATAAGCACTGAACACATTCCGATTACTATTTCTCATTTCTGTTACTACGTCGTCGACAAAGGCACTTCTATTAGCTATGCAATATTCATAATTTTTAATGTGGTGTTTTTATTGTCATCTCTAATAAGATAATAATAATAATGAATCAGTAATTCATTCTAAGTTGTAGTAAAAATTTTAGCAAGTAGAAACCATTTTCGTAATGAAATTTGGGGTTGCACTTCTTTAATACCCCATGATATATTTTTGATCAAAGATGCTGACCACTTGTACCGTTACAGGATCGTTTATGATATTTTTTAAAATAAAATTTCAAAACTATGTGCAAAAAATACATCCCAAGTATAAAAAGTTTTATCGATTGTTTGTGACAGGACTATTTGCAGGATAATACTCATTGGTAAAAGAAGCTCTTGTAGATGCTGCAATTACATTAATTAAAAATATCCACTGGGTTCAGTGTTTTTACTCATTCCGATTAAAATAAGAACTTCTTTTGACGTTCGAACTTGAAGCTAATTTATATTGGGATTTATGTGCGGCACCTCCACCATACACCTATCATATTAATCTAAATCCTAAATTTATGTACAATCTTCTTAGTATTTATTATGGAATGGAAAGATAACATGGTCGGTAATGTTACGTTTCTTGAGCTTTTTCGATGACGTAACGAGAAGCCCGTCCCGATTTTCCTTATTTACTGATAGATACCCCCAAAAGATACCCTCCCTAATTATGGAGTAATATAAAGGAGCTGAGATTTCGACCAACCTAGTAGAATTTGACAGAAAGGACAACGCAATTCATTCCTTTCCGCATTCGCTTTTGTTCCTAGTAGTGAAGTTGAAAGGGTACAGAATTTCGACAACGTCGAGGATTGTTCGCTGCTTCCTATAGAAAAAGCAGATTTGAGACTTTTCATTAACAAGTTTCATCATCATCTCTGCATGTTTAGATTGGTTACTCTCCATATCTCTTTTCTTTGATGTTAATACTTTTTGCTGTTTCAATTTCAAATATACAAGAACAATTGTCCTTTTGATGAAGTTTGTTGGATTCCATTTGCGGTTTATCCATTCGTTTCCCGAGATGATACCGTGCGGGTTTTCAGGATAATGTGCATTGCCAAAGAATATTGAAGTTGCAGTTGCTGTTGCTGTTGTTGTTGTTGGGGCGGGCCTGTAAACCGGTCCATCGCGCCGGACGTCTTCAGCAGGCCAATATAAACATCTCCGCGTGTCAACTCCTGTACGGGTCGAACGGTCGCCCCGGGAGGTCCGCTCTTGCGTCCAGAGGCGTGCACGTACCACGTCTCCGCTCAGGCCTGTCCAAACACGGACCAACAATGAACAATAGCCACATAAATCAACGTAATTAGTTTCAGAAAAGCTGCCGTATCCGCGATACGTGGCGGTATAGGATACATGTTCGATTCAACGACCAACTCATTGGTCAACGATGGATAGTTCGCGACCAGTCACTCCTCCTTTTCGTGACGATTCCACCACTACCATGGGTCGCATCCGTCCATTTCAACCACTTCTTCAGATCACATTCTCATATGCCAATTCTCTCCGTTAATCTCTGGATTGTCCTTCACGAGCTGGTTATGGTGATGGCTTAATCCCAAAGAAAGATATGCGAGAACCCAAATCAGTTTGGTGATATAATATTTGGCACAGTAGTCGAATAAAGGAGCCTAGCAAGCAAAAGATGTCTCAAAATGCATGTGATGCAAACAAAGCTCTCCTGGTGTGGTAGCAATGACGATCCACATGAAGAAAGCAAATCACTGTGAAGTCGACGTACTCGTCCTGCAAGTACAATCACAGAATTTGCCTCCTAAACCTCCGATATCTTCACCCGTCATCACAAACAATTCCAATAGTTCTGTGTCTTCTTCCAATTCCTCGAAACCTAACCAATCCGATCTCAATCTCCTCATTAAAGAAACGATTCCTTTGCCCAGGAAACTAGTTCGAGCCCAGGATGTACTTCTAGGCAATGGTACAGACGAATATTGAAATGCATGAGGCGCGAGTAAATATTTCCGTCTCTCCTCATTTTCGTGACGATTCCACCACTACCATGGGCCGCATCCGTCCATTTCAACCACTTCTTTAAAACACATTCTCAAATGCCAATTCTCTCCGTTAATCTTTGGACTGTCTTTCACGGGGTGGTTATGGTGAAGCCTTAATCCCAAAGATTGATATCCCCTAAAGAACCAATTTCAAGCGAGAACCTAATTCAGTTTGGTGATATAAAAACTTGTTGTGTCTTGCTTACAGAGATTTAGGTCTTGCGACGATTTGTTTTCTGTTATCAGCATGACATAGTACAAATCGAGAATATTAAGCTTATTAAGCAATGACATCCACAGAAGTGTGCAATCAGATCCTTAGTAGGTAGGATGCAGCATTCAATTTAGAAATACTCAATGTTTCACTAGTTTATTACTATAAGCGTTTGGTACGTCTAAGAATAGTCAGATTTTATAGTTGCAGAATGTAATATTTCAATTCATTATGTGTTGGTGTGCTAATTAATATTCTTTTTGTCTTTTCAGGGGAAGGTGGTGAAGGATCGCCTGATGATGGAAAAGTCGATGGTGACGACGATTCCGGCACCATGACCCCAAATTCGACAGCATCTCCTGCCTTGGGTGGCGACGAAGCGTCGTCGCCACCATCTGCAGCAATGCTGTCCCCGAAAAGTCCACATTCCATCGTAGACGAGCCGTCGTTACATAACCATCAGATGGATAAGTAAGTGTACCTATAATACTACGCATATGATTAAACGGAGATGTTCTTTTGATTATTCCGCGGCGGATTATAAATCAATAAATTACGTTTGTTTGTCGACTAACAAAAACACATTTCTAACTGTCACTTATCGCGCTTACTCCAAATTAAACATTTACCTAACGGGCTCGCTGTTTTAGATGTTTCCCGTCATACGACACGACGATTAGTAAAGTAGACATTGACGTGTTAAAAGATTTCGTGTTTTCATTGTTACAGAGAGCTCGCGAGTCCACGGTCCCACTCGAGAGAATCGTCTGAATCCGTGCAACCACCTCGCTGTCTGTCCGGAGAGTCGGCCTTTTCGGATCGGAGCGACTTACACCGGAACAATCCGCTCCCAGTAAGCACCCTCGCGTCGATTGGAATCGCACTGCCTCCGACGTTACCAGTGGCAGGCACCGCTTCGTTGTTTCCACCCCAAACGGCAGCCGTGGCCGCATACTTCAACGCTGCGGCCGTCGCAGCCCAACAACAACATCGGCTAATGATGACTTCTCCATTACCTCCGCATTACGGGAGAGTTCCCTCGTCTCCTATAGTCACTTCTTCGTCACCTTCTGAGGAAACTCCCCTTCCTCCCAGTGTCTCGCCTTCGGATAACGTTAGCGTGTTAGATTTCAGTAAACGGTCGCATTCGGTCGACGATAATATCGAGACGGATAGCGAAACGTCGTCACTTAAAGTTTCGGGCTCGGAAGTGACCCCGAATAGTCCGTTAGATTTGTCCGTGTCGAACAGGAAGCGCACTTTCGACAATAACGACATTCAACCCCCTCCCAGAAAGCAAAAGTCGGAATATAAGTCGCCCTTGCTGTCTCAATGGCCTTCTCCCGTTGTAGCTTCTAATTTGCCGTACTTTGCCGCTGCCGTGGCAGCTGCCAACATTTCCCCGAAAGGAAATAACGTCGTAGAATCGTGGAACGGTAAACTAAAATATTCCCCGACCACGCAGAGCGAAGCTTCGAGAGCTTTGGAGAAAATGAGCGAGCTTAGCAAGCTCGGCGGTGAAGATCTCTTTCGAACTATCACCAACTCTGTCCCTGTCGCTAACCCGACGAGCGGCAGGCATAGTGCTTGGCAATCGCACTGGTTAAATAAAGGAGCCGAGCAGGCGAAGGACGTCTTAAAATGCGTCTGGTGCAAACAAAGCTTTCCCAGTTTGGCCGCAATGACGACCCACATGAAAGAAGCAAAACACTGTGGAGTCAACGTACCCGTCCCGCAAGTACAATCACAGAATTTGCCTCCTCAACCTCCGATATCATCGCCCGCCATTACGAACAATTCCAATAGTTCTGTGTCTTCTTCCAATTCCTCGAAACCTAACCAGTCCGATCTCAATCTCCTCATTAAAGAAACGATGCCTTTGCCCAGGAAACTGGTTCGTGGACAGGATGTGTGGTTAGGGAAAGGCGCAGAGCAAACCAGGCAAATATTGAAGTGTATGTGGTGCGGCCAAAGCTTTCGGTCACTAGCAGAAATGACTAGTCACATGCAACAAACCCAACACTACACGAACATCATATCTCAGGAACAAATAATCTCGTGGAAATCATCCGACGACGCCAAGGGCGGTGGCGGAGGAGGCGGAAATGGATCTGGTCCCGGAAGTAACCCAGGGGCTGCCAACAGTCACGTCAGTGCGGTACTAACGTGTAAAGTTTGTGATCAAGCGTTTAGTTCCTTGAAAGAGCTTAGTAATCATATGGTTAAAAATTCGCATTACAAAGAGCACATCATGAGGTCTATAACGGACGGAGGAAGACGCAGACAGACGCGAGAGAAACGCAAAAAGTCGCTTCCGGTACGGAAACTACTAGAACTCGAACGAGCGCAACACGAATTTAAAAACGGCGACGCGAGCAATATGTTCGGTAAACCTGGTGCGGGTAGGATTACATGTGAAAAATGCGGCGACAAAATAGACACGTCACTTTTCGTCGATCATATCCGCCAGTGTATCGGAAGTAACGCATCTTTGAGTAGTCAGCGTAATTTTTTGAAAAACGCGCTAATATCAAACAGTATAATTCCTCCAGACGGTCCACAAAATCCTGAAAATGAAAAGATTACCGCCAACGACGGTGGTACATCACCTGCCAAACAAACGTCATCGACTGCCACCGATCTCACCACCAACAAAGAATCGACCGAGTCTGAAACTCCTAACGGTTCATCACCTTCGGTACTGAACGCCATCGAAAAACTTATAGAGAAAAGTTTCGATTCTCGCGTTCGACAGAATGCCGGGTTTGCTTGCCACGGACCCACCGCTGCCCCAATGGGTTCGAGTATTTTGAAACGCTTAGGAATCGACGAAAGCGTCGACTATACCAAGCCCTTGGTAGACGCGCAAACCATGAACCTATTACGTTCCTACCATCAACAAACCCAACAACATTTCGCGAGACGAGAAAGAAGCGGCAGTGAATCGAGTTCGGTGTCAGAACGTGGAAGCAGTCGAACCGATACTTTAACTCCAGAAAGAAAAATTGATGTGGCCAGTTTGCCTTTAGTTACGTCGACACCTAGATCTGTACATGAAATTCGAGAAAAGTCGCCCGCTTCCGACAAAACCAACAGCCATCGTCACGAGACTGACAACAAAGGAGACTTGCAAATAAAAAGAGAGATTGTAGAACCATCTGATAACGAGACCACAGGCGATGGTGGTGGTGGCATGGTCAAAGTAAAGCAAGAACGAGATGAAGATCACGAAGAATGTCACAATTATCAGGAAAACAACGAAAGGTTACAATCTTCGAATACAGATGAAGATAAAGCCGGTAGCAAAGCACCTGAAAGTACCCCCACGAGCAGTCCGCGTGCAACACAGTCCAATAGTCCATGTCGAAACAGTACCGGAAGTCCAGCCAACAGTGATCGCTCTGTCACGCCTAAAAGTACAAATAGCGATAAGAAAGCGAGTGGCAGTTTAGGCGCGTTGAGTTCCATGTTCGACAACTTGTCCGGTGCCAACAATAACAACAACACCTCCGGTGATTCGCAGCCGAGTTCGTCGAAACGTGGCAGCAATCATCCTCTGGCCGCGCTCCAGAAACTTTGTGATAAGACTGAAACTCACCATACGACCCGTAACAGTTCAACTCCGGTCATACCGCCGGGGGCTAATCCTACGGTCGCGGGCCAGTGTAACGCCCAAAACGCGGCCAATACTCCAGGTGCAATTTTGGCCTTTAGTTGGGCCTGTAACGAGGCCGTCATGACCTCCGATTCGATCATGAAATGCGCGTTCTGTGATACTCCGTTTATTTCCAAGGGAGCCTACCGACACCACTTGTCCAAAATGCACTTCGTCAAAGACGGTGTCATACCGGATCCGGTCGCCCTGAAAGGAACCGCTCAGACTACGAGTTCGACATCGGCGACGCAAGGTCCGGGCGTTAAGGGAGGTGTGGGTAGTGTTGGGGGTAACGGTGGTGGTGGCGGCGCGACGTCTAATCTTCACTCTGGCATAGTCTCGTCTGCCAGCAAGAGTCCTCCCGTTGCACCTGGGAGTTTTGAAGAGAGTCCCCATTCGAAATTTTTGAAATATACCGAACTCGCGAAACAATTGTCCAGTAAATACGTGTAATTAGTAGCATTCCTTATACTTAAAAAAGAAAAAATGTTCGCCACGCGAACTTCCTGAGTTGTGATGATATCATATCTTACCACTTGAAAAATTTTTAATAAAGTGTGTATTATAAATAAATTAAATGAAGAAAAGAGCGTCGTTTAAGTGATAAATTATAAGTATTATTATAAATCATGAATTTTGAACAAATGTTTAAGAAGAGTCGTGAAATTCTTTGTATAATAACTAAACTATTCTCTAAGTCATTATTTAGGTCGTACTGTCAATTCGAACGGATCGCTTTTGTGTTTTTGGATGTTTCCTTTTTATTTGTATTTACATCAGGTTTTCGTCCCGGTGAAGATTACATACCGGGTGTGTGGAAAATATACGCCATTCAATCGGGAAGGGAATTTCTATCAGGAAAGTATAAAATGTTCGTCGAAACGGAAAATGACACGGAGCTTTTCGATTTGGATTTTCGTTTTCTTTCGAATGGTTCGAGATTCAAGCCGATGTTATTTCCGGACACCCGGTGTAAATCCGTTTTTCAATTTTGCATCTCCTTCAATTTTGCATGTGTATAGATATTGTACTTTAAAGATGATTATACCAAACGTACACGTAAGGCATTTAGAATGTAAATGTAGTTCTGAGCAATTATTACGACGATTATTGACGATTATTATAATGGTGATGAAAAATCGTTATCATCATTATTAATAATATAATGATTATTACTATTGATTATTATTATTATCATCATCATTATTATTACTATTGTAGTTGATTTACCAATATCCGTTGAGGAGGAACACGTACAAGTAACACTTTACAAAAATTAATATTTGTATACGTACATTGCAATCTGACTCTTCCAATCTGATTTTAAGTAAATATTTATTGGTGATATCTGTAATGTATAATAATATTATACGAAATGATGTATACGCGTAGCTGATCTATGAAGAAACCCTTGACCTTATTTGTCAATCTTTTATTTTTTGATTTGTTGTATTTAACTGCAATCAAAAGCTCAAATAAATATGTATGTTAAAATAATTCTATTTATCTCCAACCCCCCTCTAAACGTTCATAAAAAATAGTTGAATTAATAAATATAAACAAATAAGTAAGAATACAGAATCAGTCATTAATATTAAAAAAAACTAGAAAGTTTCTCGCACCGATGGGGAGAAACAGGTGGGGGGAATAGAACACCATGTAAGTATTTTTAGTTGAGGGCAGACACCTAGAGAGACGGAGAATCGAGCTGAAAGTTAAAAATAGGGAATGTAGTTATCCAGCGTCCCTCTATCCCAATCAACCCCCCTATCATCTATATTTCTACACATTAACATCCTATTTTTCAATTTTCTACCACCTTTTCCCGCCATCCCTCCCCTAAAACCCATTACAATTTACCCCGTTTCTCAATTTCAGCTTCAATCCCTGCACCTCTACGTTCTCGCCTCCAGTAAAAAGAAACACTATATGGGGTTCTGCAATGTCACCCCCCCCCCCATCAGAGCCACAATTCCTAATTTTTTATGTAAACTAATAGAAAAAAAAATACTGGTGTCAAACACAGGGTGCTCTGGAACACTGTGTTAGATTAATAGAAATGTTTGTCTTTGCTTTAACCCTTGACACAGCCTTTATATTTATCCATCTTACTTAGGTTTGGTAAGTATAAGAATCAAAAGAGATGGACAATACTTGCTGCACTTGTAAGATAGTTGAGGTAAGTATAAAGAAAAAGAACTTCAATGAGCTCAAAATCAGTCTCATTAGGTTGTCAAGTTGCTATTTTTTCACCACCTAAAGTTCTAATTAATTTTCTTAATTTCTGTAATTTGAAAGAAAAACACAAATCTTCTCACTGACGTTAATATCAATTGGTAACAAATGAATTGTCTTTTTTTACAAAAGTTACGTTTATATTTAACAAGTTACTCAAAAAAAATTAAGAAAATTAGATCATTCTACTTGAAATAAACTAGTAATGGTGCATTATAAATTTCTAATGATCGGTTTGGATCAATGACCTTGTATGACAGCAAATGTCAAAAGACTAAACCTAATAAGATTGCAAATTTTTATTACATCCACTAAAAACTATGTATTTTATGGAATATAGGAAGTGTACAAAGAAATGTAAGAATGCATACATGCCCCCCCTGGCCCTCCTAAAATAGTATTCAAAGTAATATTTTGTAAACAAGTCTATGTACAGCTTTAACCCTTGACACAGCTTTTATATTTATCCATCTTACTCAGGTTTGGTAAGTATTAGGATCAAAAGAGATGGACAATTTTTGCTGCACTTGTAAGATAGTTGAGGTAAGTAAAAAAAAAAGAACTTCAATGAGCTCAAAATCAGTCTCATTAGGTTGTCAAGTTGCTATTTTTTCTTAATTTCTGTAATTTGAAAGAAAAACACAAATCTTCTCATTGACGTTAATATCAACTGATAACAAATGAATTGTCTTTTTTACAAAAGTTACGTTTATATTTTTGCAAGTTACTCAAAAAAAAAAATAAGAAAATTAGATCATTCTACTTGAAATAAACTAGTAATGGTGCATTATAAATTTCTAATGATCGGTTTGGATCAATCACCCTGTATGACAGCAAATGCCTAAAGACTAAACCTAATAAGATTGCAAATTTTTATTACATCCACTAAAAACTTTGTAATTTATAGTAAGTGTAGAAAGAAATGTAAGAATGCTTTGCACTTTTAGAGTTCCATATTCTTAATAGGAAACGCGTAGAGGTATTAGGTTGAAAACAATATCAAATATTCAGGTTTGCAATCCCTTGTAGCTGTGAAAAAATTGAACTTTTAAGTACAGCGGTTTATGCCGCATTTTGACACTCGCAGAGGGATCAAAGCCTTCCCGTCGACCTAGAATTATGAAATTTGACAAGAAGCAATCTCATAGCATAAGTAAAGATAGAAATCGTGAAACCGTAAACTTATAATTACATCATAAAAGGAAATAATTTTTTCATTGCAATATTGTAATTATAGATCGATTTCTTCTTTTTTATAAACGCCGATGCGTCTTTTTGTGTGTGAAAAACCCCATTCAACGTGGAAGTTAGAACCATAAAAAAGAAGTAGAAGAGCAAAGGAGGCAATTTCGTCGGATGGCGCAAATTAAAAACATTTCGATACGATGAACTCGAGCGTTGGTTACAATGGAAATGTAAACGGATCTAGCGTGTGTTCGAGCGCAAGTTTCGTCGTTCTATAATAAAATATGAAAATGATTTTCGCACGTCCTTTTGACCTCATAAAGCATTTTGATCTGAAAAACCATAAAATTGATTTATTAATGTGAGGCATGGTGAGATAGGCAGAACACAAAAGAATACAGTGACATAAATCGTTTGGATCTTGCATTAAGCTGTCATTCGTATTCCGATCTTCCAGTCGCACACAACCTTCTCCCTTTCTCTCCCGTCTTCATTCGAGGAACAACGAACCATTGGCGTAGCAACGAACGTTGCCAAAGGGAAAATCGCCGATAACTGTTCATTTTTACGATGCAATAAAACTGAGCTACTGAAAATGTCTGATAATTTTTTTTTTAAATTTCCATAAACGCGTAGAAATATAAAATTATACTTTTTTACATCATGTGGCACTTGTTAAAAAAAAAAAATTAAACCTAACGGACAGTTACTACTTTTTGTGAAGATGACCTTTTAGTCGAAACTTATTAAGAATTCTAATATGAAGTTTGGAAAAACTTTGGCGGTTGTTGTAGAACAAACAAAATAGCTCAAACCCCAACTTTAGTCCCTGAAGAAGGTAACCTTGTTATCGAAAAGTGCTTCGGACAACTACAGTGTCGTGTTTTGGCGTTGGGGTTTGAGCTATTTTGTTTTTCAAGAATTCTAATTAATTAAGACAATGTTTTTTTCCACAAATATTTCTATAGGTACCTGTAGTATTGTAATTTGAATATAAAATAGGCACATATTATAAAAAATGAATGAATTTTTGAGCATATTAATCAATGGGTATTTACAACCTCTATATACCTACATTATTTTACAATACTTTACATTAATTTTATTGAAAATTCAATTTTTTTTAGTGATGTAAATATGTGCGTTTTCTCTCCCCTTTTACATCTAAAGGGATGATTTGGGCTTTCCGATCTCATTAGAATATAAACTTCGATGTCAAATTGATTTCAATTAATAATACGTAAAAATGTAGTTTACTTTTATTTATTATTATTATTGTTTTTTCCTTTTTGGGTTTTGCGTGAATTATTACCCGACGCCACCCACCATTTACCCTATGTCCTTTCCTGTACCCCTGACAATATGTGTACAAAATTTCCTGATAGGTTTTACCCCCGCCTTCACTCGCGTTGATATCTTACATATTTCTCAAACAGCATCGACGATCACATAAAATTAATTTTTATATCCCTATGTCCTTTTTTATACTTTTCAAAATATGTGTTCAAAATTTCATGATAATCGGTTGAATAGTTAAAACGTGAAACAAACAAACAAACATTCGTATTTATAATATTAATTAGGATTACAAAGAGGACATAAATAACTAACTAAGAGATAATGAGTTAATAATTTTATTATTAAATCTAAAGATAGGATTAAAGGAAGGACAAAAATATTCAAACTCTAATAACTGACATGAAAACTCAGTTCTAATTTTGTAATTTCATGATGATCTTATGTCGAAAGCAACTTTAGTATTTATTATAATGTTTTATCGATATAATTGATTAATTATTTGCCTTGAAGCGAAAAAAATCGTTATTAATTAATAAAATAAATTCCCATTAAAATATGTATTAACAAACCTTTAACAATTTCGTATACTTGTAGAAAGTACTTGTATATATTGTTTGTGTATTTTTATTACAAAGAGGGTCTGAAGTTCAGGCGGGGGTAAAAAATTAAAGAGTGGTAGCAGAATGGAGTTTTGGCAGGACTTTGCCACCTCATTTCTAAACATTTTTATCTCGTTATCACTAATTAAGGTGCACTATATATAACGGTTGACAAAACAGTCGACGGAATACATAATTCTATCACGATGAAGCATATCGTCGGCAGTTGTTAGTACGCCCCTGGTTGTTGGCGACCCTAGGGGTGTTTTCTAAACGCTTGTCGCTAATTCATCATAATGATTCATATGCGTTAGAGGCCGAGACTGGTTTTTGCACACCAAATTTAACGGTGTAAATTATAAGTTGAAGACAGAAAGTCAATAATTCTCGACTTGAGAGCCGTAAATTCCTTACATTATCCGAAAAAATCGCTAAAATGGGAAATCCGCTAATGGAACTTTCCAATGCACATACACAAAAACACACATGTATAACTCAAACATAACGAACAAATGAGAAAAAACACCGGAAAGTTAATTAAACGCAAGCATTGGGAAACTAACACGCAATAATTTATTGAAATTAGCTTTCCTTTAATTTTTATTTGCTTTACAGAAAGGAAAACATAAGTTACCTATGAATAATCCGCGTAGGTATTGTATAAAATACTATACAATCATAGACATTACCATTTCGGTCAAAATTTTAAAAATTAGTAAATTTAAAAATGGTAACCACCTGATCAATAAACTTAAGTAATTCGTCACTATTAACCCCTCCCCTCGCCCTGCTGAAATAGTATTCAAAGTAATTTTTTTTTTAAACAAGTCTATGTACAGCTTCTGAAGAACTTGTAATAGAAGAAACATATACGTAACATAACATTCGACATGTAAAAGGTTTTTTTACTCATTTACGTACATGCAAGAAACTTGGAGGTTTTGTGATGACAAATAATTTACTCATTAAAATCAATTAAACATAAAAGACATCAGTATTAATGAGTAGGTGTTTTTTTTTATAGAAATACCCCAATCTCTTTCAGATATACCTATGCTTCACTTCAATGAAGTAATACAACAAATTACGAAACTCATCACAAAAACCTTAACCCAGGAACCAATTAACATTATAGTTGGAAAAAAAATATTTTTTCTCCCTTAC